CAGACAACCCCGTAACAATATGCGTTTTGTACTGCTGTTACACAGCACAAAACGCATAATAAACGGTTCGACTACTCGCCAAGTCACGCTCTTTTGCGAAAAAGGGGTCGATTAGCTAATCTTCCTATCACTCATGCTAACTCCGAGTGCTTCCGCCTTTCAGAGAGAGTGAACATGATCTGAGTTATAATTTTTCTCTTTTGATTTTTGACGTACACCTTTTTGAAAAATATCTCGCAGCATATATTTAGGAGTAGTAGATGCCTTTTGAAAACAGAATGTTGATTCTTTTTGCTATTTCAGAAAGGAAAGCCTGCGTGAAGTGTTTACACCACGTTACATATATTTCGTGATTGCAGCAATGCTGCTAACTGACAGTGCTATGGTTTGGCTTATTGTGCCAGTTCTGAAGTTCTCCATTGAGAAGATAGATGTGAACCACATTGATGGCTTCGACAAAACTGTTATTATAAAATTGAAACATGACGTAATTCAGTAATTTTATGCGTTTTAACATGCATGCAAATGCAAAAACGCCTACCTGCTTGCGCGACCCGTAGTGTGTGCGGGTGTGTGCATCTGTGTGTGTATGTCTATATGTGTGTGTATGTGGGGAGTATGTTTGTGCCTGTCTGGATAGTTCAACTCGGTAACCAAGCAAAGCTTGACGCTGAAATTTTGCCAGTGTCCTCCCTGGCCAGGCACTACCTCAAGAGCACGACATCAGTCTTCGTTTACAACAGAGTATTGCTAATCCGGGAACCAGAAAAGCTGAAAGGTTAAAAGGGGTTATTCTCCGCGCACAATTTGAAATCAGTTCCAGGTACAAATGATCCTCAAGTATAGATGCGCGAAAATTTTGGCGGTAAAATTGCTCACTGAAGGCTAGGTCGTTTTCAATGAACGGCCTATTCATTTCCTTTATGCAAAAATTATTATGATTGGTGCTAGTGGGTACACAAGCTAAACGTAAAGCAACAACCATTCTATACAAATGACTGCCTGACTGCTACTAGTTTAATGTGAATAAAAAGCATGATCATACTGGCAAGCCCGGTCGTTTCAGCCTAGACTTTCATGTGATCATGTGATTATATTTTGAGTAGCCTGAAACTGAACGTCGTACGTATCATTAGTTTTAATACCTCCCGTCCTAAAAATTCTGCATTTCAGTCGCTGCGCAAAAATTTTTATATTCTGTGTTATCGCTGAAACTGGATTTCGCAGGACTGGCTTTAACAATGCTAATCCCAAATTTTTCATATTTTAAGTGCTGCAGTACCAAAAACAAATCATTTTCAGGATTTGTACCGACTGGTTGCATTTTGCTCAGTCCTTTTTTTGATACTCTTGGTATCTTATGCCGTTATATCATTTACGGTCAAACGCATGCTGCAAACACTCAACTCTAATAGTCTGAGTATTAAAACACACATCATGCAACGACAACTTGTCATTCTTATGTTCTTGCAGGTTCTTAGTATATAATACTTTTTATCTGCTTACATAGTTTTGGGAAGAAGAGTGGTTCAGTACCCTCTCTGTTCATAACTTCGTCGAAGAGGGGCTCCGCTAGCGACAACTGGAATATACTAGAGAGTCAAATCTGTCATCAGCATGCTTTTAAGCAACTTCTCAAAAGCCTAAGCCATCGATGGCCTTACCCAGCGGCAGCTGCTAGACTTTTTCTATCTCTGAAGCACTTGACGAATATAAAGCAAATATGAATTTTTGGCTTTTGACATATTCTTTATACTCCCATCAGTTGTAACTTTTATCATATTCTCGCAACTGACAACTTCTTCATTGCCTCATTTATCCTGCCAGCGATTCTAATGTCTTCCGTTGGGATTACTAGCTTAATCGACTGTCAACCGCTAAGTTGCAGAACCACGTTAACTTTTCTGTTTTCAAATTAAAAGGCTAGCATGTGTTCAGTTATAAACATACAGTTGATCAAAATGCTACCCTTTTAATTTGAAGACAGGAAAGTTAATATGCTCTTTGTGGAAAAAGAAAGGGTTGTTTCTCGCTCTCCTCTCGAGAGCTCTTGAATGCCCCAGGGTTTCTTGCACTCTAGCTAGATTTTCAGCACCAAACATTCGCTTAGCATGAAAAGAGATTATTTTCTGAAAAACTGTCACTTCTCTTAGAACCTGAAAAAATCCCAACTACATCTTTGGTAAAAAATATTTCAAATAAGTGTGTCGAGCTTAGCCCATAAATAACTGCTTATTTTTCAGGCCTTTTTACCAGTTATATTTTTGATCATTCCACTTCTCCTTCTGGTCATTTTTGTGACCACAAAGCTTGAAGTTGACATTTACGGCACATCGGCGTTCGCTATGCTGTACTGGGAGCCCTGCATAAATCCCGTCCTCTCGCTTTACTACATTAAACCATTCAGGCAGCAGCTCAAACGTATTGTTCGAATTCGTCGAAATGTAAGAACAGCAGATGTTAAAAGTGCTGTTTTTGTTGCTGTGCATCACTAACATTGTTTGATGCGAGAGAACTACTGAATAGTTCAGTATCGTAAACTATTTGTTCTGTGATATTTGAAGCCTATTAAAATTTTGAATGATAATAAATAAAATAAATTTTTCGAAAATTTACTGCAATCGCTTTACATTA